ATCTGAGACGTGGGATGTGGGTGCAAAGGTAAATCGCGCCGCTTGATACCTGGAAAGTATTGACGAGACGGTCACACGATAACCCTGTCGACGTTGGTGAGATCCATCCATGGATGCGAGGGGTCCCATGACGTCACCGCAAGGAATCCCGCAGCTCCCCACGTGCAGCTTTCAATCTGCAATCCTCGGGCTGCAGTGCAGGCAGTTCCTGTCGCCATGATGAAGACGTTGAGCTGGTACAACGGTATATGCCGGTCTCACGCCGACACCGAAAATATTGCGAGGCGGCAGCGGTCGAGCGGCTGGACGCTGCCGATGTTCGACGAGCTCGTTCGGCGAAATGGGGATCTTTAAGGTGATTGGAGCTTCGCACCCATGAAGCAAGAGAAGTTTTCAAAGGGTTGAGGTTGGATTTGAAGGCGTTGGATAGTGTCGTGTCCAGTATGTGTTGCCATCCTTCGAGAAGATCTAGGTAGGGCAAGAGCGAGGCGGGCAAGGCTGAGAAGACGTATGCGAACCCGAATCCGAAAGCTGCTATACCGAAGCTGAAGAGGAGGCTCTACTCCTACTCCTACACTCAAGTCTGTCGAACATAATTTAGGTACTTCGTAGCAGCTTCTCGCCCCGTACTATCTCTTTCTTTAAGTCCTCTCGCCAAGACTAGGCCTTCAACGTCACTTCGACGTAGGAGTTATCTGACCCAAAAAAAGCAAGCAAAAGTAGGATGCAGAAGGTTTCAGAGCCCAAGCCGCAAGAATATGCAACAATGCGCATTCCCACTTCTCATTTCTCCCATCAATCCCAAGTCTCCACAAGAATTTCTATCATTTTCGCAATCTCGTACATCAACCCAGTCGCAAAACGTACAACATCACCTCACCACATCGTGATAGCCCGCCCATGTACTACCCAAAAAGGCTAGTTGCCGCCTGAAATACCAAGCATTGATCAACACCATACCTTAGATCTAAGCCAACACCGGGTATCGGCAATCTCGCAGCATACACAAAGAAGAAAAAGTCGTACGTTTTACGGCTACGCACACCGGCAGAGCTGGAACGGCCCTTCCGCCGCAATCAATCCTTCTCCTTTGGGCCATGTCATCGCTCCACTTGCGCATTGATCGGTGAGGAAAATTGTTGTCGCCACAATACGAAAAGGCATAGCGTTATCCCGTACGCTGGGAGAAGGAGAATTGTTTTCTGGATAGAGCTTGGGTCAGGTAGAGCTGCAGCTGAGGCCATAGGTGGTGGGTCTTTCTCGAATACATCATGTTCCTGAATGCGACATTCGAGACGAATGCGACGTAATGGTCCCACGGGAAGGGCACAGGACCTAGCTCGTCTTTTGCTGTTTTCTAGCCCAGCGCTCTAGCTGCATTCGAGAAGGAATAGAAGATGCGTTAGAAGCTGCGTTAGAGGAGCCATTCTATGGAGCGGAGTCATGATGATGCTCCTCCCCCTCACCTGTTCCATGGAAGTACAAGTGACAGTACCAGTATCGCTTTTGTGTGGTCAACGCACAGACACACATGGCATTTAGAGGACACCATCAAAGGAATCGCATAGGCATCGGCGTCTACAGACCGACAATTATTATTTCTATCATACACAAGAGGTGCGGCGCTTGCGGCACGGCATGTACGCCGAACTGTGGACCGGCGGCAAGTGTCCGCCACGGACTCGCCGCTAATCACGCTGTAGTACCCACATAAGGGCCCTGCTCAAACGAGGCCACCTCTGCCATCCCTACTCTGTTATTCTACGGCCACGAGAGAGGCTGGATCCTTCTGTGGGACGCATCTTTAACCTAGATATTGACTCGCAGCGTCTCCAGCTTCGTCGATCATGCCCCCTGCGAGGATCTACGCTTCTTCTGTGGGCATTCTGGCTGCAGGAGGGCGATCAGGGTCTTGCGGTATCGTGGCGCTAACGATGTCCACATTGGAGTGACCCTGCACTTGGAGCTTGTTGTCAGCTGAGGTAGACGTGTTCAGCTCCGTGACGAGGTCTTCACGCTCCGCGGATGGCTGTTGCAGAGATGTTCCTGTCGCGATAGCCTTCTCTGCAGCAGTAGGCGTGTTTTGAGTTGACACTCCAGGGTCTTCGCGCACAGCATCCTCCTTTCGCGCTGGAACTTTCTCAGAATTGGGGCGAGCATCTGAGAGATGGTCTAGGTCTCGCGCACTTGCGATGCCGGTATCCTCAAGGTTGCTTGAGGTCGGTCGCAGAATTCGAGACCCAGACGACGCCTCAGGTATCTCAATTTCCGGTGCATCATGATCTGTGCATAAGGCATTCTTCCTTGGCTCGAGTTGCGATTGGTCGTATTCAGATACGACTGTTGGTTGAGACTCCACACTACTGGTGTTTGGCTGAGCTGCAATACTCTGGCACATTGCCTCGCTAGTCACTTGCATATCCTTGTGGGGCTCCTCGTGGGGTGTGGCTGGCTCTCGTACTTGATCGGCGCACAGTGCCGCTGTGGTTTCTGTTCTGGGAACAGCGTCATGTCTTCGCTCCAGACCGTCGTCTCCAGATGCGATGATCTCCACCCGACCTAGATCTCCGTCCGAATGATGATCATTTCCATGTGTTGTTGTTGTGGTATTCGAGACGAGGGTAGAGTCACACGCAGTCTCTGGGATATCGTCCACTGCACTGACAAGCGATGGTTGTTTCCCTTTTCGCAAGGTGCCCCGGCCCCGTCTACTTGTCGTGCCCCGAGCTTGTACTGATTCCGCGCTTGTTCCCTTAGCTCTTCGCGCAAGTCTTGCTGCACGAGCATCTTGAGGAGCATCGTCATCCTGCCTCACCTCTACCTCTGCATCGGCCTCCGGTGTATCAGCTTCGGGTTTCCCTGCAGTCGCGAGTTTCCGCAGCTGCGCCCAAGTCTTTGCTTTTTCGCTCTGCTTTGCAAGCTCTTCCTCGCTCAGCTCAACCCATTTGGCGCCAACTTTCTTCATACCGGTGAACTTCAGGAAGGTCAGACCCGATCCACTAGTGTCCATGTACTCGGAACCCTCAGGCGGCGCATTTCTCCCTCGCGCGTACGTTTCGCTCGGTCGGTGATACTGCTCACTGGTCCTGTAATTCTCATGGAACTCGACTGAATCGGAGAATTTGAGCCGCTTGCGTGATATCGAAGCTGATGAGCTGTGCGATCGTTTAGGCGATGGCCTGAGAGACAGCGATATGCCTTGCTGTCCATGTGGTGCTGTATCGGATGATTCTCCAGACCGCTGGGTAGTAGGCGAGTGTGATCTTCGACGCTTGGGACCAGCTGTATCTTGTTTGTCGTCGTTGATAAAGTCCCCTCCTCCATGGTCCTTGTTCTCCGGGTGTTCATTCTGCGCGTCTCTTGCTGGTCCAGGTGCTTCGACAGTCATCAACCAGTTGTCGAACTCCATGTGAGCCCGCTTGTGGTTATCTCGCGCGAATGATTTACTGATTGAGTCGCGCTTGTTTTCGAGTACAGCCCATTCAGTATCGGCTTCTCTAATCGCGTCATACAGAGAGTCGAATCGCTGACACGTGCTGCATCCTGCATGGGAGGCATCCGGCGAAGTCGTAGGTACAAGCCCAGTGGCGGATACCACGGCGAGGACTCTAGCACATGATTTGCACTTTACAGAGTCGTATTTAGTGGCCATCCGTGTGGTGTTTAGTTGCGAAAGTGTTGAGTTGCTGGAGTAAACGCGTTCGATTGACGAGGCGTCGACGTGAAGTTCGCGAGATTGATGAGTAATGGATGCGTGCACAGTTGCATTTGACTCATATATGTGGGAGCGCACTGATTGTAGTGGTAGTGGGGTGAGTAAACAGATGGTGATGGAAACAAAGACGCGACTGTGGAGATGTCACGTCTGCAACGAGCGCGCGTCGCCCTTTGACGCTTCTGCAAACAAGTGTCGTATTATGTGAGAGCAACAATCGCAAGAGTCGCATTGAAAGAAAAGCATCAAGATTGAAGTCGTAAGACTTTGTTGTTCCGAGCAACCGCATCGTTGTTGCCTCGCTATCGATGATCCCTGTCAGCAGTCCCCTTTTTGCACGTCCACAAACAGCAGTAGCGATGCTACATCTTCACTTCACTCCACACCGCCGGCCGCCATCCTTTGAATCTTGTCGCGCACATGCGTCGCCTCAACATCTTGTATTGTTTATGAGCTGCGACAGTACGCAGACCTCACTATTGTGGTGAGGGCAGGACTACCGCATCTGACAAGCTCCGCCATGAACCAGTGGCAATTACGTCATCAGAGATATTCGCAATTTTATTACGGCGCAGATTCTCGACACAACCCAGATCAGGTCACCTGTCCAACGAAGGTGTCAATCATAAGGAGTTCTACTCTCATAGCCGACCCTATCATTCAAATCAGACGACTACAAAACACTGCTATGGTCTCACAAAAGTTCTTCCGCCCCGCCTCACCGTTGTGAAAACATTCATAACTTTCTGGATTAGAATGTAACCTTTCTTTCATCGAGCGCATGTTCGATTGGATCATGTCGTTCTTTTCAAGTTTGGATAGAACGTCCTCAGCTTGCCTTTCCATTTCTCTTTCAGTCTGGATGATATGCTCTGATCTCTACGCGCATTACTTCCACCTTGATCACTTGCGGAACTTGCAACCTGAGCGCTTGTTTCTGTCGGAGCTGTGGAGCTTGAGGATTGAGCTGCGGTTGACTGACTGGCTGGAGCTGACAAGCTCCCATGACTGCTACTCGATACCGGACCTGCTGCGGGTGCTTGGAGGTTCCGAGCTTCAACGCGGCGGCCCAGACTTGAGAGATTGACAAATACAACAGCGCCGGTTGCATCTAAAGTCGAAACATCAACAGAGGTTATCTCTTTCGATTTGTGAGTGCGCAACCACGGTTTCGACACGATATACTGCACTGGATCTCGGTGCTCTTGTTCTCCAACTTGTTTGCCCTTGGTGCACTGGCAACAGTCGAAAGGCTGACCTCGTGACATCCAAAGGAGCTTACGCGTCAATCCACCTGGTTCCAGCTCAGTCTCCAGTTGTTGTAGCCTTTCTTTGCGCAGCAACGTAATAGTTGAAATGGAAGAGGCTAGATAGTCCTGACCCCTAGGAACGGATCGCCATGCCGCGCAGACTGTGTCAGGCTTACTGGGACAGATGAGGTCGCCGAATCCCTTGCCGAAGATTGGCAGCACACCTATAGCAGGCAACAAACTGACCCAGCTGTTATCCCCTGAGCTGAACCGCTCAATACGAGGGACGCACTGAGGTCGAGACTTGACAAGATCTAGGATATCGAAACCTAAGAGGAATTTCCTGGCATCCAGACTTTGGAAGACTCTGATACCGCTTTCCGTAGCAATACGGGTTTGGTATTCGATAAGGAGCTCAAGCGAATGCAAAACTTTATCCACTCTATCTCCAAAGGTGGAGTATGTGTTTACCGGCTGCCCATTTGAGAACGTCTGGTTCTTTATGTAGACGGGTAGTGCACGATTCTTCCAACTCTTCAGTGTACGTATCGACGCAGCACGTCCACTGAAATTTGCCCAGTCGTCTTCTAACTTGTCTTTCTCGAAGACCCAATGGTAGGTAGATTCAGGGTTGATCTCTTCCAGCTGCAAAGACGTTCGCACAAGGTGGAGCAATGCGGAAGCGCCATCTACTAGCCAACCTCGGTGGTCTGTTACATCGTAGAAAGCGACGAACTGATCGGCAACCCATTCGAACACGGCAGAGTAATCGCGGGTCTCGCCAAATCTTACTGGCTGTTCTCTCTGGTTGATACGTGCGTTTACACCACCTATCACATAGAGCCCTCCTTCGACATATATGCGATCGATAGCTGTGTACGCAGGGCATGGAACGGCTCCAGATGCGGAGATGCTGAGCTCAGCCTGAGGATGTCCTGTTGACATAATTAGACTTCTTCTTTTGTGTCAATCACACCGCTGGCTCATAACTTACCACAGAGTTCCGTCACTTCAGAGCACCATCCTATGATATGACGAAAGCCCTCTAGGGAGCGGAGTAAAGGAGCTTCCTCTTTTTTTGAAATTGATTCTTCTACTCGAGGGTCGAAGTAAGAAATGCGATCTTCTGGCTTGCTGCTGGTGAAAGCATGCCACAGAATGGAACCACCATCAACCGCGGAAGCAACTACTAATGAGTTGAAGCCTTTCATAACAATTCTGTTCTCGAGACGAACGATTTGGTGGGCTTGCAATATGCTCGACATGATGCTCAACGATGTTTCGAGACCGGTAGCTGACGTCAATTTTCGGAGAATAGGGTACCCGCTGACCAATATGGCATTCGAAAACAGTCGAGTCCAGCAAGTGCCTTGAGCCGACGTAGACGTCTCCCGACTGTTTTGAACACTAAAATCGAGTTTAGCCTTTACTGACATTTCTTCCGGACTTAGTTTGAACAGTGTTTTCACTGGTGAGATGGTCATACGCGGTGACAGCACAACCACTATCCCTTGTATTGGCGACATTCTCAATACTGTAGCCAGCCATGATATCTGCTCAGCAAACTCCGACACCATATATGGGCCACCAACGGCCTCTATCGTGCAGATACTAGTAGATGCAGTTGTAATCGTCACACCAAGGGTTGATGGGAAAGTATCTAATGGTTTGTTAGTAGACGAACCGCGGGAGATGCTTCGATACATACATGAGCAATTACGATCCGGCCGGCAAAGCAGAAACTTAAGCAGCATATGCTCCAAATGCCTTTCGCTAAGCGGCCAGGTTTGACGTATATATGCAGCCACAGTAGCAAGCTGAAGATTGTCTCGCGAGCCCGTCAAACAAAGTACATGCTCCCACATGCTTTCAGAGATTGGCAGCTGTAGCGACTCAACGTACTTCCTCAGCTCCCACAACAAAGTGATTTCAAAACGAACGATTGTCGTCGGTCTCTGGCTACTTATAACGCTGAGAGAACCCTGAGACCGCAGAACTTGAAGAACCTTCCATTCGATGGGATCACCAAGCGTCGAATAAGAACAATGTCGTTGAGTTCGCAGCTTTAGCTCCAGGAGTAGCCACGCATACGCTTTTGACTTCGTGATAAGACAATCCTCAAGCGACGCTGGTATCTTGGAAGATCCAGTGGGGATAAGCGGAGGTTCTGGGTGAAGATACGATTTCTCGGAAACATCCGTCCATTCGCCTAAATCGTCTTGGGCCTCCTCGAATGTTAGACGTAACCAAGCATTTTCTGGCGCATCATCTCCCGAGAAGATACTGTCCCCATTCTCATCATCGAATGGCTTGCATTCAGCTAGAATACTGGCTATGAATCTGGAAATTCCTAATCAGCGACTGCTCATGCATGATGATCTCTTATACTTACACGCTCATCCTATGAAGCGCCACTGACAAACCCCAGTCGTAATAAGTCGTTCCCTCTTCGTGCAGTCTTCCCGCAAATCTTCTCAGTAGTGATACGAGCTCGGATCGCGCGATGTTTCTCACACTTTTGAGACCAGTATTGTGTTCCAAGTCTGTAATCAGTCGTTGTGAAAAGCGAGTTCCAAAACTCGTCTTCCCATCAGCTGGGCCAGTGGCCGTCGGATGCACCATCTCTTTGACAAGATGCCCAATACTAGCGGAGTGGGATTGTCTTATTGAATTCATAGGGATAGGAGCCCTGTCCTTGTCAAAGTTCGGAGATCGATGAACACCGCCAAAGGCCGAAAAATATCGGCTCCTAGTGCCATAACCGGTCGTTCCTTCGCGTTTAGCCTACATAAGACATACATAAGACATATATTTGCCTAAATATAGATTCTATTACTTAATAGCTACTACTATTTTTATTTCTTTTTATTTTCTAAACTCTTAGTTAACTTATAAACTATAACTATAAAAGTAGTTATTAGTATAAACTTTCTAAAGTAAGTAGCTATAAGTGTTACTTATAAAGTATAACTTTTTAAAATTTATTAGTATATAGCTAAGCTATTTAAGTTAATAAAAGAGACTTTTTACTATATTTTTTTTTTTTTTTAAGAAGTCTCTAGCTTAAAAAGTATTACCTATATAGTTAGCTATATTTATAGTAAATAGTATTACTATATACTTTATAAATAGCTATAGTAAATAAGATTCTTTTAAAGCTACTACTTATATTAACTAGAAATACTAGCGTTCTTAAAGCTAGCGCGTATTTAACTTAAATCTTTAATACTTTTTAAAGTACTAAGTATAGTAAAAAAAGTAAAAATATTAAAAGTTAGTACTAATATTTTATAAAAGCTAGTTATAGTACTTTAAGTATTAACTTAGTATATAAAAATTTAAAATACTAATATAGTATAAGTTATATAAGTAATAAAAACGCTAAAGTATATATTTTATATTTCTTTATAGTTAACTTACTTTAGTATATATAATTTTAAAGTTTAGTTTTTTTATTTTATTTATAGTACTATAATAATATAAAGTAAAATAAGCTACTTATAATTTTTAAATTATATAACTACTATATACGTAAAGGTACTTCTTATTAAATAAGAGATATCGCAATTCTTAGAGTCTAGTGCTATAACTTGAATAGTCTGTTTTAGACTGCGACTTCAATTGTGGAAGCGGGTAACCAACTGGAGTAGTGATCTCCGTATTTTCTCTCCGCTTCATAACCCTGTCTGCTTCATTGCCTGGTGCTGGGAGCTTCTGAAGTGTGATCGTGCCAATTGAGTGACCAGTAAGCATGAAGGGAACGACTTGCTTGCGAGCCATCCGAGACATCAGATCGGTGTAGAGATTTGATACATCGACGCGGTCATGTCTCCGGATATGATCACGCATGAGCATCGCAATTGCAGCCGTGAACGAAGGTTCCGCAGGAAACTTTATCCCGGTCTTACTTTCCGTGGCCGCTATTAATTGAAAGCGTTCGGATAGCGCAGCACGTATCTCCATTTCAGCACCTTTCCAGTCTTGTGTAGAACGAAAACAATCCAAGAGTAAAAGACAGTCAAAACTGGTGCTCCTGATACTATTCTGTATCTCATTCAAGCCAACATCTGGAGGAGATCTGAGACAACTACACGACATTAGACAAATGATATATCTCGGAGGGACGCAGCATGCTTACAGCCTCTGGAATGCTTCTGACCTCTTGGAAAAATTGTATCCAGGGTCCCGATAATCATCATCTATGCCCCGATGACTAATGTAATGGATGATAAGTAAGGAGGATGTAACAGGAAGTGTTTCCTGGGTTGAGAAGAGTATCTGTTGTTGTAGCATGAATGCGCGTGTATCGCTCTGACTGTCATCCTTAGGGATAGGGTGGATTTCCGTTTCGAAGTTCAGACTCTTGAACACCGACTCCATCTCCTTGGCTTCCCTAACATGGTCTCGCACACTGTCGGGGTCATCCCAATGTGTTTTGGTATCCTCCCAGTATAGTATTACTGCTTTTACATAAGCGTACTGAGGAACATCTGGTTTCACAACGAATGGCTCAACGTAGGGCTCGAGAGGCGACTCAACGTTTGGCACGAAGTATGACTCGGGAAGTGCCATCGAATTATTCGGAAGTACGACGTCAAAATGGAAAGTAGACGTAGCTGCATACGGCGAGGAAAAACGACGGTATGAAGTACGGTCGTCACAACACACCCAAGAACTGACGACTGCGGCCGACCACTGTATATTAAAGATTGATCCAGTCTGCTGGCCTCAAGCCAAAACCCACCAAATAGCGGGTCAACAAATCCCTCAAAGCCCGGCGCTTCAGGTCAGGCTGAAAACATGCACTCACATCCTATTCGTCGATCCCCTGGAGGACATGACATTTGCATACGCCGAGCAATCGAGCAGGCCATTTATTGGTTCCTCAGAGAGTTTGGCATGCATACTGCAGGCTAGTGGCTGCATATGGCGAGAACGCCTTGCGAGTGAGGAAGGCTAGATGCTACAAGGCTGAAAACATGCGGTGACCCCTTCTTCGTTATTGCGCTGTCACGGAGGTGTTCACCTCGCTACTTTTACAGGATGAATATCATAAGCTGAGGCACTTGTTCCTGCCTTAGTAAAGACGCAAACGACGTCACAGAAACTCACCGCTCCGAAGGAGTGAGATTAGGCTGAGGAAGCAAAAGTGAAGTTACGACCGACCTATAACGTAGCCACGCAACTTCTACAATTAGAAGCTCTTGTGTTAACAATACTTCTCTTTTTACGAGAGAACCTAATTATATAAATATATATAAATTTTAGAAGTTATAAGTTACTTATTATAATAAGTTATTAAGTATACTATAAAATAAATATAATAGTTTTAGAGTATAACTTTACGTATATAGTAATATAAGTTAGAGATAAAGTATATAAAGTAACTACTTTAGTATTATTATTACTTATATAATATATATATACTATAGTACTTTCTTTTACTTCTATTACTTTTAAAATCTTAATTTAACTATATATTCTTATTAATATTAAATACTACTAGCTCTTACTTACTAATATAGTAAAAGTAACTTACTACTAAGTAGCTATATAAGCTAAGTATTATTAATAAATACTTATAAATATAGATATAAACTTATATACTTAATAAAGTATTAAGTTATATAAGTTTTATTTTAAGCGCTTACTTAGTATATAATATAATATAACTTATAATAAGTATACACTAATAGTATATAAGTTTATACTAAGTAAGTAAATACTTTTTTTATACTAAGATAGCTATAGTAAATATACTACTTATTTATTTAAGTTAGCTAAGTTACTAGCTTTCTTAAGTAAAAACTATTTTTTTTACTTAAAGTAATATTAGTAGTAATATAAAATAGTAAAAGTATACTAATATACTCTTTACTTTTTATAATATATAAGTTAAGATATAAGTTAGTATTTAAGCTATTTTTTTAGATAGTAAGAATAAG